AAATACAGTTAATAGAAATCTATTATTGTGCAAGTCTTTGCACCATTGCTCTTTTCTGTATATTCTACTAGGAAAATGTTTCAATACAGTATAAAACGCAGTTCTAACAAACTTGAAGTCGATATTTAGTGTGACCATCTTTATTCTAAAACACAGCCTGAGTTGTTCTTAGTCAGGCTGTCTTATCATTTCTTGAAGTAGTCTTCAGGATTAGTTCTCCAGGCTTCTTTAAAGAGCATTTAAAGCTCTTCTTTGGATGTTGGCTGCCTTCTGTTCTGTTCTCTGTGAAGATGATTCCACGCTGCTTGAATAATGTTGAGGTCCAGGCTCTGGGGAGGCCAATCCATGGCTTATACTGTTACACTGTGTTTTCCTCTGTCCAGGTATAATTCTACTGCACTGGCTATGTGTTTGGGATCTTTGTCATGCTGAAAAGTGAAGCTGTTGCTGATAAGATGCTTTCTAGGTGGCATTTTGTGGTCGCTCAAAATCTGATGGTGTTTTTCTTTGTTCATAATTCAATCAATTTTGGAAAGATCTCCAACACCACAAGCTGCAATGCAGCTCCAAACCATGACAGAGACTACGTCGACTTTTACAGATGGCTGTAGACACTCTGTGTTGTGCCTCTCACCTGACCTCCTCTGTATATACAGACAAAAATTTGAACCAAAAGTTTAGATTCATCACTCTATAAGACCTGTTGCTACTGATTTTCAGTATAGTTCTTGCATAATTCTGCATACCTCAGCCTTTTTTTTCCTCTCTTTCCCTTCGTTAAGAATGCCTTCTTGTTAGCCACTCTTCCACTGAGATCATTTCTGATGGGGCTTCAGTGAACAGTAGATCCACTGACTGAAGGGTTGTCTCTCAGGTTCTGTATCAGGACTTTGCTGGATTATTTCCTGTTCCTTAAAGATACGACTTTCAGATACTGTTCGTCTGCTGGATAGCTTTTAAGCCTCCTCTTATCTAGTTATTTTTTAAAGACACACTGCACACCGAACTGAAGTATGTCAAGTTTTTTGTTAAAAGTTATTTGGGAATCACCTTATTGCTGCATTTTTTTGTAGAATCGGATAAAGAAAGAGACGGAAATTATCTTTTTGCAACAGGTTGCTAGTAACAAAGTAGTAAAAGTGGCTCTGTTTTAGGCTGTCTTGTTCATCCCTTCAGTTAGATCCCCCTTTATGCTTGAGATCAGTGTTAAGTGGCTTAACAAACAAACAAAAAAACACATCCCTCCGAAAACTAGACATGTACAAGGATGGGACTGAAAATGAGTGAAAAAGTAGCCAGTGTCCAAAGAGAAACTCCGAAAGACCTTCAGAAAGCCTGGAGATCTACTGCTCAAAACTAGTAGGAAAACTGTAAGAAAAATGAGGGGTGGCTCGAGACATTCGCACAACACTGTACTTTTAACATTCACGACAATAATACAGTCCGATGCAAGGATAAAATGTAAAAACAAAGAGATCTGTGACAGAATTTGACTACATCATGTTTTCCAAAGGTTACTACATTTGCAAGCGGCAGAATAAACAGAAGAGGTGAAGGGTCCGTTTATTCTGCTGGTGCATGCAGACACACAGAATAAGCGGGGAGCAGGTTGATCTGTCGCTGTTGGGACTAACAGCATAATAAGAGTGAACTTTGTGGTCACTCCTGCAGTCTAGCAGAGGAGGAACTAAACATAGCCATACATGGAGAGGACTGAGTAAGTCTCTGCCCTGGGGTAGCAAGTATTTAATTAATTAATGAATTAATGCACGGGTAAAACAGGCTAGCCTTCATAACTCACCGGTCTAAAACAAAATAAATATCAAACGCCCCATCGCAAGAAGCGTCCTCTTCTTCCAGAGATGACGAACTCACACAAACAATTGCAAGGAGTAGGATTTTGCAGCATATCCACATGCGATCCATAACCTGTGCTTCAGGCTACATATCAACAACGTGTTTGGGAATTGGAAAACACAAATAAAATAAAAATAAAACCAGTCAGTGTGGTTAAGGATAGTCTCTAATCTTCACAGTTTCATCCCTGCTCACATGTTGAATCAGTGGTGTGAGAGGGCATTTGGTATTTTCCCCTTGAAGCTGCATGCTGAACATGAAATAAAGTGGGCAGGGCGCACAGCTGCTCACAGTGACGCTGTCAAACTACTGCCAATGAGACGAGACGAGAGCTTCCGCCCTCTGCACTTCCGGGATTCCTTATTCGGGGGGCTTTAACAAAAATGGCTTATATGTTATTAATTAATTAAGAGTTTATAGGGACGCTAAGAGATAGCATGTTGAAGTTATTTTGCATTACATATTTAGACACTAATAAAGAAAGGGTGAGTAGGCAAAAGAGGACGGTTGTGTAAAAATATTTATTCACAAAAACATTTTCCTGATAAACTTTTTAACAACTTTTATTTTGAAGATAACTTCAGTGATCTTCCTGTTTGGGGTATTTGAGACGTTTTTACATTGATATGAGTAAAAAAGAACATATTTTGAAACATTACATTCGGCTGAGCTTGTTTTAGGAGCCTTTTCTACTATATAAACTCGAGTCTCTTCTTCTTCCTACTTAAATCGCTTCAAGATTTAGCAAAAAAGAGTAATCGGTAATGGCGTGTCTTGTTGTAATACAGGTCTAACTGACTCATAAATCACCCTTTCATGAGATGAACTTTATGCTTCGTGTCTCAAACAAGTGCATCGTGCTCTTGTAAATCTCTTCCAGATGGAAACAATTGAAAATGCAAACACAACGCCCTCGGTGCGCAGGGTTGATTTGTTGTTTTGCATGAACACTTGCATCTTCCTTCCAAGTGCTGAAATTAAGTCCCCACCTTTGCTCAGCGACACACGGAGACTTTGTTTTCCAACACAGTATATATAAACTTTTATAGTCTTTAACACCAGCCCCCCAGGAGCTTTAATCTTGGAGACTAAAAACATTTTTAATTCATTCCTGGAGTTCTTTTGTGAGCGAGTGCTGTAATCATGTGTCATTGCACTCTCTGTAGGGATGTCCTCACAGCCTGTGGCTAAGTGTCAACTTTCAAGAGGATGAAGTCATGACAATGCAACTCTAATAACATACCAAAGTCACTGCGTCAGCGAAGAGGAATCTATTCTCTTCTGATGGCTGTTTGGGTCATGATCATGGTCCATGTTTTTGTATTTTATTATTTTTTATGTGGGTGTGGTTGGAAGAGGAGACAGCAGGGCTCTGGATGTTAGATGCTCCTACTGACAATACTCCGATAATACCAACTCAAACTGGATTTTATTTATTGTTTCAAGTTATAGTGGAGACCCCAAATTTTCTAAAATCTCGAGCCATCATCTATTTCCCATTTTTCTTGGAAATGGGAAAAAAGAAGAAGTGACTTATCGAAACACATGCAAGCATACGGTAAACTGAAATACAGTAATAAAAGGCAAAATCAGAGTTTGTACAATTCTTATGAGCTTGAACGGTCAATATTTGGTATGGTCACCTTTATTTTCCTACACAGCCTGAACTCTCTTTCGCTTTCTTGTAGTTCAGGAATAGTTCTTTAGGCTTCAGAAGGACTTCCACAGCTTCTTCTTTGGATGTTTTCTGCCTTGTATTCTGATCTCTAGCAAAATGATCCTGCAGTGCTTCAATAATGTTGAAGTCTGAGCTCTGGAGTGGCAGTAGATTAAGAAAAAGCATCCAATCTCCAAAGAAAGACTAAAAGACCTTCAGAAAGGCTGGAGGCTCAAGACCATCCATTAATTTTCTTATTTCGTTCAAGATCATGGCTTGCTCAAGACCACTTTCTTGGAGATTTTGGCTCTGTAGCAAATAGATATCAACATTGCAAAACAGCTATTTGCTTTAATATTTCACAATTTTTAAACAACTTAAAGCAGCTGCTAAAGGATTTGTCACGTTCAGGCATTATGTTTGACAATTTACAAACATGGGTAAGAATTGTAGATCTGAGAAAATGAAAATAACTGCTGTAGTTTTTGGTTTGTTTGTTTTTTTTCTCGTGGGATGCTGGTAAGACTTAAACAATGTGCAACAGTCTCAGTGAAAGCAAAAAGTCAGTATTTTTTAGGTGTGGTCACCAGTCAAACTTAATAAATAAACAAGCCGCATTATAATTAAATGGTCCACCAATGCTTGGGCGTGATGCCTCTTGGGAAGTGTTCAAACCGCTAAAATAAAAGATGCAGTTTGAAATGCATTCCTTTGTAGAGAACAAGGCCTTAATTAACCTACATCAGTAATTAGGATACATTTCCATAAATTATTATTATCATCATCATCATCATCGTTGCTGTTGTTGTTGTTGTTGTTTTCATTTCAAGTTTAATAAAACACCGCAGGGTGAAATTCTCCGCAGCCACCAGTTGGTGGCAGCATTGTGCCGTTTCATTGTTTACCATCAACGTCAAAAGAAGAAAGACAGGTTTTGCGGGTAGTGTGTCTGTTCACTAAAATGTAACATTATTACTGACGTGTCAGGTTAAAAGCCATCCAGATATGGCTGAACTGTGTGAACGGGGACATCGAAAGTCGGAGTGGGACTAATGGTGAGTTCTGTAACCCCGTTTCACATCACTTTAGCGGACTAGCGTGCGCATTAGCTAGCATGGCCCAACAATAACAAACCGATTGACGTGCGAGTCGGGCACGCTAGTGTGTTTAGTTTGCTGTTTTAAGGGGTTTATTTAAAAGGGAAAGCTATGCGGAGAGCCTGTGGACTTAACTGAGAATGTGGTGCTGGTGGTGGTGAGATTTGAGAGCTTTTAAGGAGGTAGGGTTAGGGAATAGATGAATACACACACACAAACGGCGGTAACCCTGATCCTGTAGATATAACATAATGTCAGCACTGATTTCAGATAGAGGACTTGTTTTACCATCCTAGCACACTCCCTTATAAATCCTACCTTTCCTTTTTCCATATGCAGCCTTAGCCTCCCTCAGCTTGCCTTACACCGCCAGAGGAGCCCCGAGCAAGATGCTGCTGAAGATGCCCCAGAAGCTGCTGAAGACTGCCCACTACATAGAGCTGGGCAGTTATCAGCACTGGCCGGTGCTGATACCCCAAAGGATACGACTGTACACTTACGAACAAATACCCCTCTTCCTGAAGGAAAACCCCTACATCACAGACGGCTACAGGGCTCACCTGCCCTCCAAACTCTGCCTGAAAAGGTACTGGGAATACTGCAAAATCAAGCTTATGCATTTCACCTCTGGCCTTTACTGTTATTTATCTTTCTTTGAGTTGCCCAACTGTAGATATAAATATATAGCATTACAGACCAGAAGAGGGAAAATTGAGTGATTATATCCATACATTTGCACATAAACCATGCACATGCAAACATCCTGCACATTTCTTTTGCAGTATTTTTATTCTGTCCAATGAGACGGTGAATATCTGGAGCCACCTTTTGGGTTTCCTGCTGTTCTTCTCTCTGGGAGTCAACGACCTCTTGTCTGTCCTGCCAGCTTCTGGAGCCAACAGAGAGGACTATGTCATCTACGCTATAGGACTCTTCTGTTTCCAGGTAAGTTGTGTGTATGTATGCAAGATGGTTTTTGAGCTTCCTGTGAGCTGGTTTTAATGATTTGTTTCGTCGCTGCAAAATTACAAATCACTTTCTTGATTTAAAAATAATCATCCCTCCAGTCATAACCATAGATCAATAAATGACATAATTAAATAATGTTGAAAATAGGAATAAAAATACCATAAAAACAGGATAAATGCACATGTCATTCAGATTGTAGCATTAAGCAAAATGTATATGAAAGAGAGTGCTGTGTAAACTAGTAGCCTGCTAGTAGTTTGATTGCCTCATATTTGCATAGAGATTGAAGTTGTTCAATTGCTTTTTGTCATTGTTTGTATAGTAAACGACTAAAACTACAGGTTTGAGCTGCTCCTTATGGCTGATCACCTGAATCCGTCTCGTTAGCATCCTACTCTGTCATGCCAATCCTCTGCATGTCATCCTCATGGCATTCTTTGCCATTGTTGCTCCCTGATCAGCAGTCTATGGCCCAAGCTGATTCTAAAGTCTTTTCTCTTTCCTGCATTTAGTTAAAGAGAGGGCTGTTCACTATTTATTTGCTTCAAGTATAACACTCAGCTTCACTCGTCGTCAGTGCACAAGTATGAATGCAAACGGTGACACCACCCACCAGGGCAAAGGTTGTGCAGGGAGTCAAAACTTGGCAAAAATCCATCTTAATTCCTGTGAGGGCATGTCCAGACAGTGCATTAATCAGGCAGCTGTACACTTCTCTGTGCAAAAATAAAGCACTTTCTCATGAATGTTTTCTCATGATTCTTTTCTTATTGTGCATTTTTTTTTGTAATGAATCTTTTAGCTGGCATGAGATGTTTCTGTTTCCAGATATTGTTTGTGAAGCAGTTTTATTTTATCAGGGTAGCTTTGTGCAATTGCATGACTGAACAAACCTATTAACATAGGTTTCATGTTTCTTGCTACAGGTGCACTCAGGTCACTGCCACCTTCCCAGGTGTGTAGATAGAAGTAGCTGTGAAGTTTAGAGTTCCTGTTGACAGATAGCGGATTTTGACATTTTAGCTGTGTATTTGTTTATGTTGTAAGTTTCACTCGCAAATGGTTTGAAATCTTTTAATATAGTGAATAACTAGTCAGTGTGATTCTTATGTAGGTATAATGTACCCATGTGGTAAAGGAACACAAAGTTTTTCGTGTAGTCACAAATGTGATTAGCTTGATGGATGCATAAAAATGCTCTATGCGTAAAGAAATTGTCGAAAAACGTTTGCATCTGGTGCTGTGTGCTTCCCTCTCAGGTTTGCATGCTGTGTTCAGTGGGGTATCACCTGTTCTCGTGTCATCGATCGGAGAAGACTTGCCGCCGCTGGCTGGCGTTGGACTATGCAGGCATTTCTGTTGGCATCCTGGGCTGCTATGTACCTGGGATCTTCTACGCTTTCTATTGTAATGCTGTAAGCACAAACATTAGTATCAGGTTGCTGGCTAATTCCTTTTCCTTTAAGATATGAAACTGGAGATCCTCAGGCTCATATTGCGCTGTGTTTTATATTGTCTGTTACTTCCCGTGGTTGCAGTTTTGGCGGCAGGTCTACCTGCTGACAGTGCTGTCCCTGATCCTGGCCGTCTTCAGCGCTCAGGTCCACCCTCGTTACCTCAGCAATGACTGGCGTTGGATACGGATGTCAATCTTCTGTTGCGTGGCAGGTGTTGGCACGATTCCTGCCTGCCACTGGGTCTGGCTCAATGGTGGTTTCACCTCCGATGTTGTGCAGGTCAGGAAACAAAGCTTGTGCGCTGTATGTTCGCTGTATCGTTTTAAAGCTTTATTACAAGCCGTTTCTGCTGTGATGCTGTTACTATGGTTTTAACCCAGAAATGAGGATTTTCCCTGTGTACAATAAATCTTTCCTGTCTCTGTTTCAGCTGTTTCTGCCTCGAGTTATAATAATGTACTTGATTGCTGGTTCTGCCTTCCTGTTCTACGTCACCAAAATCCCTGAGCGATATTTTCCTGGTGAGTTTTGCTTGTCTGCGGCAGCATTTGTGTCTGTTTGCTTTTGGCTTTACAGAGTGAACGATTTTGATATCAACTTTTCAAGTATGCATTCACCCATCCAAATCATTGTATTCAGGCGTTCCAATCATTTCTATTGCCACAGGTGTATAAAAGCAAGCACCTAGGCATGCAGACTGCTTCTACAAACATTTGTGAAAGAATGGGATGCTCTGGCCAGGTAACCTGATAGGATGCCAACTGTGGAAAAAGTCCTGTCGTGAAATTTTCTCACTATTAAAAATTCTACAGTAAACTGTTAGGAGTACAAAGTGGAAGCCAGTGGAAAAAACAGCAACTCAGCCATGAAGTGATAGCGTTATAGCTACGTAAATTAACAGAGTGGGGTCAGTTGATGCTGAGGTGCATACTGTGGAGAGGTTTCCAACTTTCTGCAGAGTCAATCGCTACAGACCTTCAAACTTCACGTGACATTCGGATGAGCTCAAGAGCCGAGCGTATAGAGCTTCACTGAAAGGGTTTTCATGGTGAGCCTTACATCACCAATCGCAATGCATAGCATCACATGCAGTGGTGCAAGTTACGCAAAAACTGGACTCTTGAGCAGTGGAAACGTGTTCTCTGGAGTGATGAATCACACTTCTCTATCTGGCAATCCAGTGAACGAGTCGGGTTCATTTTCATATGAAAAGGAGCTGATCTGACCCTTCTCCATCAGTTAAACTGTTATCATCATCATTCTGGGTATGAAGTTCCTGCTCTGAGGCTTCTCAGGCCGTAGATCTCCCTACTTTGTCTCTTAGCCATAACTCACACGATTCACAAAGCATGATCAGAAGTGGAAAATTACAATGAAAGCTACTCAGCTGTTATCCTTACCACACCTATGTGCCGATGCCCGTTCACATTAGGAACCATTTTCATGATACATGATGAAATAAGCAGCTTTAAAAGAGTGAAGTTGCTTTGAGAGTGACAGAGTACTGAAGTTGACCTTAATGGTCTTGAGACCTACAGTTAAAAAAAAAGCATTTGAGGAAGTAAGCTGGGAGTATCAGGAATGTAAGATGACATGTCACAGTGTGACTGCTGCTAGATCTGGGTCGACAAACTAACCAGTAGGACAGGAAATGACACCCTGATCAACGGACACAGACTGGTACAAACTTAAGTGGAGTGGAGGAACGTAAATGTAAGTGTAAAACAAAATGTTTGCAATTCCAGCAAAGAAGGAAATCGGGTTTGTTGCAGCAGAAACTTATTTGTTTTACCATGACAGACCCGAGCGGGTATCAGGCAGTGTGGCGTACAATAAAGTTTGCTGAAGAAGATTGCTGGGATCTCGCAGTGTGCAGGCCTCTTCAGATCATGTTCATAATTCTAGACACATGGTCTGTTAAACTTCACCGCTCTGTCTTTGAAAAGAATGGTTTGATCTTCATGTGGATTATACAAAACACAATGTATGGAGGGAAAAAAGTTCCCACTAGAGGCCAAAATTGTCGGGCAATGCTCTGGATTTTCTACGAGTCTGTTCTGGGCAGCCAATATGATAAGAAAGGCACATCAATTCAACCATATGTTTTTAAATTTGTGTATATATATATATAAACTGGGATATTTATAATTAAAGCTATTTTGTAACTTTGTAATATATTGTATTTTTTAATTTAGTTGAGTTAGTTACTGTTCTTACTTTCTTGGAGCAGCTGGGACCACATCATTTCCTCTGGGACTAATAAAGGATTCTGATTCTGAAATGCTAAATATAAAGTGCTTTCAGCAGAAAAGAGCTGTATAGGGATCAGTCCATTTACCAGTCAAATAAACTGCTTAATGAACTTAAACAGGAAATGGTGAATTTATGTGGAAACAGAAATATTAATGATTAAGAGGGTACTGTATGCACCGCCATGACAACGACACACCAGACATTTCATTTTACAGTACGATGAAGCCATTAAACTCTCTGACCGCTACAGAGTACGCGTCCCATCCATCCATCCATCCATCTGTTATATGTTTTTCCTTTAAACGATTGAACTTCTTTCAACAACAGTTCTACATTATGAGAATTAATAAATGCATTATATTTACACTTTATTTTTTCTTTTTCCAGGCCAGCTGAACTACCTGGGTGCCAGCCACCAGGTGTGGCACATACTTGTGGTGGCTATGTTTTACTGGTGGCATCAGACGGCTGTGTACATCATGCACTTTAGACACAGCCAGTCCTGCCCAGCGCAGACCACCAGGAGCTAAGTGAAATTCATCATGTAACTGCAATGTAAAGCTACCTAAAAACAACACAATAATAAGAAGAACCGTATTTTTGTGACCTCTACCTTGTCAACCTAACGACAAGGTACTTCTGAGTACCCGCGGTAGAAATAAAGGGGCTTCTTTGTCGTACGCCCTCTGTCACACCGTTTAACTCACCTGTGCGTACCACTCGCAGATTATCTTCCCAATCTGAAGTCCACATTAGGGATTAGAGCAGCAGCACAGCCTCAGTAAGAAATATGTCTGACACCCTTCACTGTAATTTAACTGTCCAAAATAAAATAAAATGGATGAACACATCATGTCAGCCACTGCATGCATTAAAGGAGAATGAGCGGATGTGATTACAGACAGCTGACCGATTGACACAAACATATAGCATGTCAGTAAGATGTTTGGCCACCAGGTGTCCCCAGAACATCTTAAATTCAGCTTGAAATTGGTTCTAAACCTCTGCTGGAGGGATTGAACACTTTGGGGTTTTTTAATAATCAGGCATATATAAATATGCCGAGAGGGTACCTGCATCCCACGGCTTAGCAGAGCCACTGGAGGTGGAGGTTGGTGCTGGGATTGTGTTTGCTCCCTAAGGACTGTGAGCTGATGTTAGATGTGGTCGGCCACACTAACTCAGCCCCTAAAGCACAGAAAACAGTGAGCTCTATTAGATCAATGCATGAAACTGTATTTTTTTGTATTCGTAGAAAATATTTGGGTGGTAAAAGCATTTTCTCATGGTTGTTTATGATTGTAGTTTTTGTACAGAAGTGTTGGTAAAAAATATCAATAGGTATTTTGAATCCTTTGAATCTTACTTCTTAGTCTGTGGGAAGAATTATTTATTTTAATTTTGTTTATTTTTTGCCTTGTTTTGTTGTTGGTTCTGTGTGAAATGTCTTGATTAAGAAGTGGGAATGACAGAAAAACCCAAGGGAGCTGAACGTTACTGTTTGGGTACTGCGAGTTACCTCTCTTTGGTAGAAACAGTCACTCAGTACTTGCAGTATTTTTTTTTATATTTGAACACATATGTTGGGAAAAAATACTTTAAATGCTGCAAAGTTGCAAAGCCAGTATATAAAATCAAAGCCGTTGTTATCAGCTGAGAGAAACAGACTAATCTTAATGCTAAACTCATTTTTATCATTGAGATGATGGGTATATATTTTTTAGTCTTCAGTCTCATCTTACATAATTTGGGAGTCTGATTTCAGTCGTCCTGCTGTAGCTTACTTACAGTTCACCTCACTCAGCACAGCTCATCAGAGAGGTGCTAAGTGACCTGTGGTTGTCTACTTATTGCAATTGTTTGATCAAATTATAGGATAGTGCATTTATCTCTACTGGCACGCTTCCAGTTTTGATATTGTGCCCTATTGTAAAACAGATCAGCCACAACTCACAGGAGTTTTAATGTGGTGGCTGATATGAGTCTGACGAGAGGAAACGAGATCTCTTCCTTCATAGTTAATTTTGAGGAAATGACGCTTTAGCAGCGGTACGTGTGACTATGAATTCACAGTTTGCTGTGAGCAGTAGCACTTAACATAACACTCAGTGATGAGCCCGGGAGGTCAGTCAACTGTAGCAGATATCTGTTATCAGCCATCAGTCCTTTTATCATGAAGCTTCTCGCAACAATGTGAGGAAAAAATACTGATAACCGCCACCTCGTTGCTTTAACAAGGCCAGTTTGATGTGTGTCAGTTTCCTTTTGTTTTTCAAATTAATGTACTTTTGGACAGTTATATGTTTTTGGTGGTTTGTATTGTTTTTGCATTATTCAATCAGGTTTGCCTTATTATCTGTTTGTACTGTAATGGCACTTCTACAATCTGTGGGTCCACAATTGAGCCTAAACTAGGACAAAATGATCAAACTGTTACACTCCAAGGCCAGTGTGGTTTTCTTTCTTTCTTTTCAGAGCACTTACTGCTGCAGTCATGACGGCAGCACTCAAAAGCACTCTGTTTTTTTTTTTTAAGTGTCTTTATTTTGGCATTAAATGCTTGATCTGCTTGGACTGCTGTTTGGTTGTGTTTTTCCTTTGTGTGTTTTGTATGTTACTGCGGTGGCACTGACTACTGCAATGTGAAATATTTATTTCAGTGCCTATGTGAAAAGATATTTTTAAATGAATAAATGAATGAATAAAGTGCTGGGAAATCAGTTGTTTGTGAGTTTCTGTGCTTCAGTTGCTTAAAAATCCAAGCAGGTTGATGTGATTTAAGAGAGGTGCAAGATTAGCTCATTTTGGTTTCCGAGGAAGCTGCAGGTCTCATAAAAACCAGTAGTAGGCAGCATTGATTCAAATGCTTCTCATTTATGATGCAGAGTTCAGTGGAAAATGTGGATTAAATCTCGGTTTTTGTGCCTATTTCTCTCTATTCACAGCCTCCACAGATAAAGCTCACAATGTAAGTGATTCACGTCAGTTGGCAGCTTGAAAAGTATGTTCTTGTTAAATACATGGGCATCGTGATGAGAACTGCCTGGTCAGAAGTCATGTCTCATCCTCACAGCATCAGCATAAATCCTCATTCCTTGTTGCATGACACATCAGCAGATGGGCTCACTGTGTTTATAAAGGGATGGAGATGGTCAGGAACAATACTCAGGTGTGGTGTTTAAATGATGCTGAGTTGGTACTAAGGGACCAAAAGCGTGTCAAAAAATATCCTCCACACCACTGCAGCCTGAAGGGTTGATACAAGCCATGCATCGATGTTGTTGTTTATACCAAATTGTCACCCTACTATCTAAATGCTACAGGACAAATCAAGACTCATCAGACCAGGCAACAGTTTTCCAGTCTTTTGTTGTCCAATTTTGTTGATCCTGTTTGAATTGTAGCTTCAGTTTCTGCTCTTAGCTAACAGGAGTGGCACCTGATGTGGTCTTCTGCTGCTGTAACTCATCTGCTTCAAGGTTCAGCAGGTTCTCCATTCAGAGATGCTCTTTGCATAGCTTAATTGTAACGAGTGGCTATTTAACTCATAGTTACGTCCTTATCAGCTTGAAGCAGTGTAGCCATTCTCCTCTGACCTCTGACATCACAATGCATTCATACGTCTTCCACTTTCCCACTTTAGAATTCCATCAGTGTGATGTAAATAATGTGTATTTTACGATACTACCTTGTTAGTTAGGTCTGGATTATAATTGACCCCAATTCAGCCACATTTTAACTCCGAAGGCCTCGCGTGTGGAAACTGTGGCAATGCAGACTTCAAGGGGGTTCAAAGTTATTCAATCATTGACAGGTACAAGCAGACAAACTGCTTACTCTTCATTTCTTTGCAGTTAATAGGTAAAAGATGGGTGTCCCATATATACTTGAACGTGTGAGTGTGCAACAGTATGATGAAGTCCTGCTGCGGTGTTATTATGAGACATAGTGTCAATATTTCAAAGTATGATCATTATGCAAGCAAATAACAACCTTGAGTGTACTACCTCATGAGCTAATGGCTGTTTGTACAGAGAAGTGTCTGCAGTGATCAGCATTTTTGGAAACGGTCAATTTTTATTTTAAGAACTTTTCATTTTAATGCCGTAGTTTGCATTATATTTCACTGTCTACAGCCTATATGTAAACGTAGCCTGAGCTTCTTTGAGAATAAAGCTAGTTCAGTGTCTATTCTCATAATACATACCAAAAAAGACCAAATAGCTGATAGCTAAGAGAAGTCAGAGAGCCAACCCGCAGCTGAACATGAATGTAGAGGAGCTGGAAAGAGTCTCTAGTTTCAAGTTGTTTTGCACACACATCTAAAAAATACCTAAAATAGACACACAACACACAGTGTCTTATTAAAACAACATACAACATATACAACAGACACTGTATTTTCTGAGACCTCTGAGGAACATTAGCCTGCCTCAGTACCAGGAACTGACAGTACCCTAAAAATCTAGAGCTAAAAATCCAAATTTCTGCACTAAGAAATATTGCATTTATAAAAGATATTGTGCCCTCTCAAAACAGTCATTCCATCTCGAATCATCTTTCTGTGTGACAGTTAAGATAAACCTTTGGTGGTGGGGCTCACCTCAGGGGGAGATGAGACGGCATACAGAGCTGAAGTTCAGAGGCTGTCAGATTGGTGTGTAGATAACAACCTGGACCTCAATACCACCAAGACAAAAGAACTGGTAGTTGACTTCAGAGGGAGGAAGTCCGAGCTGCAGCCTGTGAGCATCAACGGGGAGTGCGTGGAAAGGGTCTCCAGTTTCAAGTTTCTGGGTGTGCACATAGACACAGACCTCCAATGGAGCTCTAACACCTCTCCGGTTTTAAAGAAGGCCCAACAGCGTCTCCACTTTCTGAGAATCCTCAGAAAAATGGACCTGAAGAAGGAGCTGCTGACCGTCTTCTACCGCTGCTCCATTGAAAGTGTGCTGACATATTGCATCGGTGTGTGGTTCTCCAGCTGCACCACAGCACACAGAAAGGCACTCCAGAGGGTCATCAACATGGCCCAAAAAATCATTGGACATCCTCTTCCCTCCCTGAAGGACCTGTACAGCACTCGCTGTCTCAAGAGGGCACGCAGCATCCTACGGGACTGCACACACCCAGGACACCGGGTGTTTAAGCTGCTGCCGTCTGGCAGGAGGTTCAGGCTGCTGAGGTCCCGAACAAATAGACTCAAGGACAGCTTTTACAACAGGGCAATAGCCCTGATCAATGTAAATAGCTGACCTGACTGGCTACCTCCCTGGACTTTTTTAGGGGGGAGGTAACAATGTTTAAAACAATAACAATAATAATATTTATATTTATAACAAGGTGCAATAATAATTAATGTGCAATAATAACAGTGTGCAATACACATACACTATTCTTCTTTTTTATACTAAGTTAATATACTGTGTTGTGTTGTTTTGTTGCGTTGTGATGTGTCATATCGTGTGTTTTGTTATACAGTGGGGCAAAAAAGTATTTAGTCAGCCACCGATTGTGCAAGTTCCCCCACTTAAAATGATGACAGAGGTCAGTAATTTGCACCAGAGGTACACTTCAACTGTGAGAGACAGAATGTGAAAAAAAAAAAATCCATGAATCCACATGGTAGGATTTGTAAAGAATTTATTCGTAAATCAGGGTGGAAAATAAGTATTTGGTCACCTCAAACAAGGAAAATCTCTGGCTCTCACAGACCTGTAACGTCTTCTGTAAGAAGCTTTTCTGTCCCCCACTCGTTACCTGTATGAATGGCACCTGTTTGAACTCATCATCTGTATAAAAGACACCTGTCCACAGCCTCAAACAGTCAGACTCCAAACTCCGCCATGGCCAAGACCAAAGAGCTTTCGAAGGACACCAGGAAAAGTATTGTAGACCTGCACCAGACTGGGAAGAGTGAATCTACAATAGGCAAGCAGCTTGGTGTGAAAAAATCAACTGTGGGAGCAATCATCAGAAAATGGAAGACATACAAGACCACTGATAATCTCCCTCGATCTGGGGCTCCACGCAAGATCTCATCCCGTGGGGTCAAAATGATCATGAGAACGGTGAGCAAAGATCCCAGAACCACACGGGGGGACCTGGTGAATGACCTGCAGAGAGCTGGGACCAAAGTAACAAAGGTCACCATCAGTAACACACTACAACGGCAGGGAATCAAATCCCGCAGTGCCAGACGTGTTCCGCTGCTGAAGCCAGTGCATGTCCAGGCCCGTCTGAAGTTTGCCAGAGAGCACATGGATGATACAGCAGAGGATTGGGAGAATGTCATGTGGTCAGATGAAACCAAAGTAGAACTTTTTGGTATAAACTCAACTCGTCGTGTTTGGAGGAAGAAGAATACTGAGTTGCATCCCAAGAACACCATACCTACTGTGAAGCATGGGGGTGGAAACATCATGCTATGGGGCTGTTTTTCTGCCAAGGGGACAGGACGACTGATCCGTGTTAAGGACAGAATGAATGGGGCCATGTATCGTGAGATTTTGAGCCAAAACCTCCTTCCATCAGTGAGAACTTTGAAGATGAAACGAGGCTGGGTCTTCCAACATGACAATGATCCAAAACACACCGCCCGGGCAACAAAGGAGTGGCTCCGTAAGAAGCATTTGAAAGTCCTGGAGTGGCCTAGCCAGTCTCCAGACCTCAACCCCATAGAAAATCTGTGGCGGGAGTTGAAAGTCCGTGTTGCTCGGCGACAGCCCCAAAACATCACTGCTCTCGAGAAGATCTGCATGGAGGAATGGGCCAAAATACCAGCTACTGTGTGTGCAAACCTGGTAAAGACCTATAGTAAACGTTTGACCTCTGTTATTGCCAACAAAGGTTATGTTACAAAGTATTGAGTTGTATTTTTGTTATTGACCAAATACTTATTTTCCACCCTGATTTACGAATAAATTCTTTACAAATCCTACCATGTGGATTCATGGATTTTTTTTTCACATTCTGTCTCTCACAGTTGAAGTGTACCTCTGGTGCAAATTACTGACCTCTGTCATCATTTTAGGTGGGGGAACTTGCACAATCGGTGGCTGACTAAATACTTTTTTGCCCCACTGTATGTAGTGCTCATTGTACTATGTATGACTGTGCAATGACAATAAAGAGTTATCGTATCTTATCTTATCTTTATTAGTCCCACAAGTGGGAAATTTGCTAACCATCTCCAATTCACCTAAACATTTTTTAGTTCAGCTTTTAAACATATATAATGATTGCTGTGAAATGTTATTTTCATGCATCAAATGCTTTTCAAATATATACTTTTATATTTTATATACTTATTTACTCCATTGTAATTACTACCTGTAATTACTACCACCTGAAATTACATGGAAACTCCACAATGTTGTTCTATTTAGATTAGAATAACTAGTGTGATACATATTAGCTGTACCTGACTATTTCTATTGCATATTTTCTGCATGTATGTGACTAAGAATGTCATATTAAAACATTTTCTCCATTTTATTTTGCATTATTGTGAAACACAACTATTTTGTTTTCTTTGTTATGCTCAATGAACAGGAATGCTTTAAATGTTTTGTTTTTTTTCTCCCATATTTTAATTCCCCAATTCATTGTTTATGTACCCGGTCCCAAATGATATATTCTGAATAGTCCAGTGAAATTTTCAGGCTTTTGACTTCACAAGTATTTATGTTCAAATATTGTCTCAAATTTCAAAGGAGAAAAAAGGCCTGAAAGTGGGTGAATGGGCCTTTTAAAAAAATGAAGCTAAAATTTCACAGCAATCTGTCCCAATTAAAATAAATAAATAAATACAATTTTCAGTTTGAGATGGACTGATGCAAAGAAAATCAAAAGATTGTCAGAGTATGTACTAGCTTACCTACAACAAGCTTTTTAAGTGGTTTGAATAGCTAAAAGAAGAATTCACATTCCCTATCACAGAGCCTACATAGACTCCTACTGGCATCTTCAACTAAAGACTTAAATCTAATGAACAGGAAAGAGTTTTTAATAAACTGCAAACTGGGAAGCAAGCTAAAGTCATCTCAATATGATGTTTTTGAGTATGAATTTAAGCAACATGCTTCACATGGGAAACTAACATTAACATTACGGCTGTATCACAAGATAGATGACGGGTGAGCTACCAGAGGGCAGTGATGCAAGAGTTAAATAATATCTTGGAATATTTCTAACTGAAGCAATCAAGTGTACCACAGTTAAGTGGCTCAGACCTGAAGCATATATCAGATGGAACAAATAACATACTCAACGAGACTTCAAAACAATATATTTATCAAACGTTGGAGGCCGGTTGCCTATAGCAATCCCGACTCAGTTTGCTAATCTGAGTTAACTGACAGAAACAATACGCATAAATATGTCTTAGAAAGTTACTTACTGCTCACGCATATGCACACACCATGGTGGGGTCTCTTCCCTCTCTCTCTGGTGTTATTTTTGCTTTTTTGCAGCTATTTTTTCCAGTTTTCATCTTTATTTATTCTATTTTTTTTATCTATTGAATTTTGTATCTGTCTCTTTACTCCTTGCAGAGTAAGGAGATGGGATACTTATGTATCTAACTATCCAGATAAAAACAGAGTAGATGAAACAAGAGTCTGAATTGTACACGTAAATGCATGAAGGTCTAAATTTACTGTGACTACAACCTGATTTTCCAAAAAAGTGTCACGTGGTAAAATGTAAATAAAAGCAAAACACAGTGATTTTTAAATTCTCAAAATCCTATACTTTATTCACAGTAGAACATAGAAAACATATCAAGTGTTTAAACTGGGACATTTTACTATTTCATGAAAAAATATTACCTCATTTTGAATCTGATGGCAGCAACACATCTCAAAAAAGACAGGGGCAACAAAAGGGTTGAAAAGTAAGTGCTAAAGTATTAAAAAGGAGAAAAAAAACCTGGAGGAATATTTTGCAATTGAGGGTGTTTTGTAACAGGTCAGTAATATGATTGGGTTTAAACCGAATCATGTTAGAGAGGCAGAGCTCACAAACACCAATCTGCAAAAAGCTGCATCTTTATAATGTGAAACAACTTCAGAATGATCTTCCTCAGTTACGAAGTATAAAGTACTGGCCATTGTAGGTTGAATACATGTTTTTCTATCAAAATGATAAGTAGTCTCTCTTTATATGACATCCTTTTGTTTGTTAACCAATTTTAATTAACAATAATATTAGTAATTGTAATAATAAATCACACCCACAGGTGTTTCTCTAAAGACACGGTTTAATCTAAGTGTTAAACATTAAAAAACATTTGATGATGTTGAACGTCAACGCTGTCTCTAAGACGAGAATCAAAGAAACTCCTGCTAAAAACAAAAGTCACTATCACGATTCCAGTAAAAAAAAATAAATCTTAGAAATGGTAGATGACAACATAAATGTATGAAAATGATGATTTTCAAAATTTACAGTTGTCTCATGTCCACATCATATTACAGTGACAGTTTTTCAACACTTCAGCCTAACATATAATTTTTTATTGACATAGATAGTCTCAGTTATTATTCATTTTTAAATTTTAAAGAAATTACCCAATTTCCTTCGGGGCCAATAACGTTTATTGAGTTGAACTGAATTGAATTGAAAGATTTAAAGAGATCAAGGAAAATTGTGGTTTAGCAAAGATACGAGAGTGAGAATTTAACAATCAATGGCAGTGAATCAGTCCACGTTTATGGTATCACCTGTTGCCGTCGATTCAAGGCACCAGTTTTTGTTTTAATTTTCACCTGAGCAAAGTCCCCATATACATCTTAATCATATGTTACTATTTCTTTCCATGGTTTTTCCCCATTTGGGCCATTGGAACGGTCCAACAGTACTAGCATGTTGTAATGAACTCTCACCTAACCACACTGAGAAAAGCACATAGTCCTCGTGTGTCACGTATAACTTTCCTTCCTGGTGTCAGGAAAACTTTAACCAGCCTTTTATGAATGATTTAACGTCCAAGGTAATAGCTGGCACTTAGATAAATCTCTAAATCTGGATTCTACAACCCCGGGTTAAAGCCATTACGGACTTTGGCCAAGAGGTTCAAGGTATGTAAACTGAACTGACTTATCTTTCATTGCAATAAATAATACTTTCATATTGTGGCACATGTGTGTTGTACTAAAACTGCACAGAGAGTATTAGCCAGAAACTGAGTGGAAACTAGCTTGGGAATGAAAAAAAGCAAACATCCATCCAGTTACACACTACAGGCAAGCATGCACAGATTCAGAGTTCATCAGTGCTTGCTCTGCTATATCAGCTTATTTACTGATGTCACTAATGCTTTTTCAGGGGTAGCTCCTGAAAAAAATTCAGGTTCACTTAACTCTAGACTATGTGAAACTGTTGTCTGAAAACTAATTGCAAAAGTCTATATTCAGTCATTAGCACTGAAAAGTTAAAAAGCTATGTGTTTGTTTGTGTCGCTACTCCTCCAGCTCATTTCCTTTTCCTGCAAAGAGAAGACTTCATGACAGAACAAAACGAAACTGCTACTGACTGAGAACACCTACTGCAGCTCTTTTTGGACCACATCTTCTTCATCTTACTTGGAAAAAATATAATGACGTACACTTGAAAAAGATTTTAAAAATGCATGTAGATAAGTTGGATTTCAAACCTTTACAATTTTTTTTACTTTTAAAAGCAGAAAATTTGTTATATTTTTTAAGCCATTTCTGTCTCATTGGTTTATCACTGGATATGTGTCTTCACCATATCGTTCATTTACTCTCGCTTGCGTTACTCACTGCCAACTTGAATCCATTTTTTTTATATCTTTGAAACAGAAGGCTTTGGATCAAATTTAATAGGCACAAAGCTTAAAAATATATTTTCCACTGTTTTCTAAAAAGAAGGGTTATAAAAAGCATCATAGAGCTATCTAATGCCCAAACTGATACTGCCTAAACATTTTTTCACAATACCAGTGGGAAATCAAACAGAGGAATGAACCGGGCACATCTTTTCTCTTTCTCCTCTGGCTCACCTACACCTCAGAGTCCTCTGACCTGCTCTCTGTGGCTGCAGCTGCCCTGTTAGCATGGACAACAGCAGCGTGAACTGTGTGAAACAGAAGGCTGCCCATGTCTTCGTCATTCTTACCAAATAATTTTCCCTTCTGCAGGGTATCAATGAGTGAAGTGTTACAACAGGCAAGGAGCACACTCACGCCAATCCCTTTATATTCCTTGACCAGCCCTAGAAAAGCAGCCAAGCCTGCTGAATCTATGAAAGGGATTGCAGAACAGTCTAAAACTATTGTGTGAAACTCCAATTCTCTTTGGACCAGTCTCACTACAACATCTCCGTTATTTTTCTCTCCGTTCGCCTTGGCCTGCTTCGCAGACGCATCTTTGGCCTTCTTCTCTGCCTTTTTCCTTTTGGTCAGCTCAAAGAAGGGTTCGACTCCGACAGCTTTGTAGAGAGACTTGAGAAAAGACTCCTTATTGGCGTAGTACAAAGGAGCCTGGAAGCGGAATATTTGAACCCGAGATGGTGCCACAAGGTTCTTATACTCTTCCAAGTCCTCGTAAAAATCGGTGTCATCAACCCGGCCCAGGAGGGAGACCTGACATCAAACCCCAGAGTGTTGAGATTATTCACAATTACTTGAATCATTTTCCAATTATTAGTATAAGCATCATTTAAAATGACCTTATTTGCTTACCTTTGGATTTTGAGTCCTAAAGATGAAGCAGATCATGGAAAAGATTATTCCTACAAGGAGGCCCAGCTCCACACTGATCAGAGCCGTGGCTGACATGGCAACCAGCCAAACGATGGCGTCATTTCGGCTCGCACGCCACTTAGCCGGTACATCCCTGAACTTTCTCAGTGCCCCCCGAAGGCTAACAATTATGATACAAGCAAGCACACATTTCTGGAGAGCTTGGAAGAAAGGTGCAAAGAAGAGGAGGACAAGGAGGACTACCAGGGCACTGATCAGACTTGATACCTGGTGGAGATGGTAGAAGACAGACAGAGCTGATAGTTAAGGTTATGAAGAAATCAAATTACCACATAAAGATGCACACTTGACGTCAGGACAGACTTGAAAAAGGTTACAAGAAAATGTTTTCTTTCACAGGAAAGTTTGAGCAGGATAATAACGTGGAGGTCTGAGCTGTCACCAGTGATGAACCTAACCCTGGGTAATCAGACTAAGTCTTGGCAATCAGCAAAAAAAGAAAATAATCAATCTAATGGACATACATCAAAAAACATTCACATTTTTTGCAAAAAAGTCCATTTAGGTTAGGGTTAGGGTTATCACCAGTGATGACTTACAACTCAGAGGGTATTCCCCGAGGCATTTTTAGTACGTCACTTGCTTTCACCAGCAATTTCACAACTAAATGTAGTGAGAACACTTTTTTCCAAGATCTTCAAGTGAGAGATTTTAGACTATTCCTTCAGGTCAAAGAAGAAATGTACCTGTGTCTTGCAGCCTGTGGAGTCCTTCACCATTGTTTTTGCCAGTGCTGCACTGGTGGTGAATGAGTGGAAGAAGGAGGGAATGATATTACAGAAGCCGATAGCCAGCATCTCCTGGTTGGGACGAACGGTGTAGCCATGTTTCTTAGCAAACATTTCAGACAAAGACACCGTGAAGGCAAAACTACAAGACAAAAATAATATTTTTGGTGAATATTTAGGTTTTGCAAATTCATCTCACCTGAGGTCAGCATGTTTTCTAGCAACTTATCAAACATTATTTAACGGATCAAGAAGGCTTTTTAGAAAGTTCAGCAGTTTGAAGAATCTAACTTCCCATACCACTTTCCTTTAAAAAAGATACAAACAATAGAGGTGGAAATGACCTTAGGTGTGTGTGTGTGTTTTGAAAGGAAAGCCCAGTCAAAACTCAAAGTCGTGCATCCCGCCCAGACAATAATGTGGCTACTGATATGTATCTGTAATAACTAAGATTAGAGGCACATGTTCCTGCAAAGTCAACCTGCTGTTAAACTGGTTTCACTTTACCTAATGACTGCCAAAGGAATGGCATCCAGCACCAGACGGGACATCAGACTAAAGCCGGGCAGCTGGGGAGGCATGAACCCTGTGGGGATGTGACCAGAAACGCTAGAGCCATAACGGCTGTTCAGCTCTCCAAAATGACTGGCTAGTGTAGCTCCGGCCACTACTACAAGCTCAGTGGGGAGAGGCATCTTCAGACGATCCTTATAGCGTTCCTGAATCTCCTTTGCTGCCACTGAAATAAAAATGTATTGTGAAATAAAAATCCATGTTAAAGAAAATTGTATTTTTCCAGGTTACATTATATTGATATCATATACGTATCCAAATGTGACTGACCTAATATTGAGATACAGATGGCACTAGTGATGAAGTCACACAGGTTGGTCTTGTGAATGTTGGAGAAGATGTTGAACCAGGTAACGACTACTGTGCCATAGCCCTGGTGACGTGGAATCTTTAAACCCAGGAGGTATTTAGCCTGCACGGTCAGGATGGTGAAGGACGCTCCGGTGGCAAAGCCATCGAGCATGGGAGCCGAAAGATAAACTGAGACAAATCCCAGTCGAAACACTGCCATCAAAACCTGCCGAGGAGACAAGGATGTAGAGGAGAGAGAGTAAAAAAAAAACAACAACATGCTGGTCTGTTAAGTGGCTGCAGGTGTTTTGATCAATTTGTGAAAAAGGTTCAAGTTAGAAGCATATAGAAACCAAAGTCCAGTGTGACGTGTGGAAATTTAAGCCCAAAAAGGAAAAGAATAAATACCAGAAAACTGGAAAAATTCTAATGCAATAGCTGTGAGATCATCATCATAATAATGACCCTTCCACAGAAACACATCGTCTAACTGTGCTGTATTATTTTACCATCCTCAATTAAAGCATTATCACTGTAGTCGGATGAAACACTTGGTCAGGCTGCATACATTGTGTGAAAAAGTAATTACTCCCTTGTTAAATCATGAATTAACTGTGATTGAGCCCATTTTTTGAAAAACCAAGTTCAATTACAGTAGCTAAACCCTGACCTGATTACTAAGAAAAATGCAGAATAAAAAAAATACCTTCAATAGAACCTGTCTGACAAACTGAAGTAGGCTGAAAGAGCTGAAAATGAAATATATCATGCCACAATTTAAATACATTTAAATAAACAGCTGAGAATCAAAGTCATGGATATCTATCAGGAAGTGTCATAAAGCCATTTCTAAGGGTTTGGTACTCTAGCAAACCACACACCATTATCCACAAATGGAGAAAGCTTGGGATAGTGGTGAACCTTCCCAGGAGTGAACGGCCTACCAAAATTACTCCAAGAGCACACTGATGACTCACCCAGGAGGCCACAGAAGAACCCAGACTAACATCTAAAGAACTGTCTCAGTTGCCTCAGTTAATGTCAGTGTAAATGATCCAACAATAAGAAAGAGACTGGGTAAAAATGGCATCCATGGGCAGTGAAAACCACTGGTGACCAAAAAGAGCGCAAAGGTTCATCTTATCTGGGTCGCTGCTTGTGCGGTCGACAGGCCAGTCAGCTGATTCTGATTATCAAACAACATCCTGACCATCCCAAAGATTTTGGGGACTTTTTGGAAGGTTTGAATCCCATTATATCTGGCATAAAACTACATCCGCATTTAATAAAGAACAGACAAATATGGTGGTGGTAGTGTGATGATCTCAGGCTGCTTTGCTGCTTAAGGATCTGGGTGACTTGCTGTAATTGATGGAACTGAATTAATTCTGTTCTCTACCAGAAAATTCTGATGGAAAATGACAAAATTAAGTTCTGGAGTAGCCTAGACTTAAATCAGATCGAGATGCTTAGCTAGGTTTAAATCGGTTATTCATGATCAAAACCCCCAATGTGGCTGATTTAAAATGATTTTGCAAAGAAGAGTTGGCCAAATTCTTCCACAGTGATGTGAAAGACTCATTGTCTGTTATTGCAAATGGTTGATTGCAGTTCTTGCTGCAAAGGACTGCAAAACCAGTTATTAAGTTTAGGGTCCAATTGCTATTTTGCAGAGTCAGATAGATTTCAATAACTTTTTTTCTCTTTATTAAGTGAAATCAATGTTCGTAAAACTACATTTTTGTATTTACTCGGGTTATCTTTGTATAATAATAAAATATGTTTGACGATCAGAAACATGAAACTGCAACAAATCTGCAGAAAAATAAGAAAACAGGAAGAGGGCCAACACTTGTTCATAGCACTGTATCAGTGTGTGCATCTTGCCAACAAAGGTGCTTGAAAAACACAATACACAGAAAAACAATTGTGTTCTTTACCTGGTAGACTCCAGCCAGGAATGTAACAGCAACAGCAATGCTGATGGCGTAACACTCCTTCCCACACTGCATACCCATTAACTCCACAGTGTGAACTTTAGTGACTGTGAGGTTTGTGCCCAGTGTATCATTAAGGACATCAATATTAGACACTGCTGAGTCCTCACTGAGGTCAAAACCTGCCTTGAACACCTCCCTATCCACCACCTGTAGAAAAAAGAAAATGACAACATAAAATCTTTAGCTGCATGCTTAACATGCACGTGGGAGGTTGACCAGATTCTGATTTATTACCTGTCCAATCATGAGGCTCATGAGGCTGAAGATGCCTACAGACACATGCCTGGATGTCCCCATGAGGAAGTAGATGATGTTAGCATAAAACGAGGTGTATAGGCCATATATGGGCTCCACCCCTGCCAGCAGGCAGTAAGCAATGGCCTGTGGTACCAAGATGATACCTACAATCATCCCAGACATCACATCACCCCAGACATACTCTTTAATGTTGTATTTAGGCAACCAGCGCATCACAGGGAAAAACCCCGACAGGGTGGATCGGATTCTGGGCAGAGAGCAAGTTACAGCTTGCTTCAGCTTTGATTTAAGGACTGACACTGCAGGCTTTCGCTGGCGAACTTGTCGCTCCAAGAGAATGGGTACGGCCGGTGGGGTTTCTGTGGTGTTGGCAGCTTCCTCCATGGTCTCAGAGAGGAAGACGAGGGAGCACAGTGTAAGGAAAAGGGAAGCGTTGACGATGAAGTGGTCAGCTTTGCTCCTGCGAAAGACAGGGACAAATACAGTTTTATATCCAGTGATTCCTACTTGAGTGCATTGTTTGTAACTTTGAGATCTAACAAATTTGTTGACGGCTGTCAGAATGGTCCATTTAAACCATTTTCATCCAAAAGTTCAGCTTGGACTCCATCTTTCAAGGATTCCTTAAGTCACAGTTCTCATGACATGCAAATGCTGTTCTCTGTAACGGTCCCACGTTTTTGTGATGACATAGTGTAATTTTGCTGATGTTTTTTCTTTGTGCATTCTTCCACGTCCTTTAAACTGCTGATTCAGAGCTCTGTGTGAGAATGTTCACTCGGGGTTATGAATTAACTTAACACTATCTTTCTTTGTAAATAAACTAACAACAGGGCAAGGGTTAATTAGCTCCATTGAAAATCCATGACAAGATGTGCCATTAAGTTAAACTTCCTCACTGTCTAGAAG